GTCTTCTCCCTTTCAACGCTCAGCCCAGAATGTTCGCTGCATCTGATCTCGACTTCTCTAACCCGGTATGTCTTTTCAAAGCGTACACTAACAGAGTCGGCCAAAAGGGAAAAAAAGTTAGAAAAATATGTGTTAGAAACAACAAGAAATAAATGCTTGCATTATAAAAAGAAAAGACTTCAGTAAACGCATCCACTCAGAGATTTGCCGATCAATATAAACAGTAAATAATAACAATAATAATAACTGAACAGCCATGCAGCATCCAATCTCCTAAATGGCAGAAGAAGAAGAAGAAGAAGAAGAAGAAGAAGAAGAAGAAGAAGAAGAAGAAGAAGAAGAAGAAGAAGAAGAAGAAGAAGAAGAAGAAGAAGAAGAAGAAGAAGAAGAAGAAGAAGAAGAAGAAGAAGAAGAAGAAGAAGAAGAAGAAGAAGAAGAAGAAGAAGAAGAAGAAGAAGAAGAAGAAGAAGAAGAAGAAGAAGAAGAAGAAGAAGAAGAAGAAGAAGAAGAAGAAGAAGAAGAAGAAGAAGAAGAAGAAGAAGAAGAAGAAGAAGAAGAAGAAGAAGAAGAAGAAGAAGAAGAAGAAGAAGAAGAAGAAGAAGAAGAAGAAGAAGAAGAAGAAGAAGAAGAAGAAGAAGAAGAAGAAGAAGAAGAAGAAGAAGAAGAAGAAGAAGAAGAAGAAGAAGAAGAAGAAGAAGAAGAAGAAGAAGAAGAAGAAGAAGAAGAAGAAGAAGAAGAAGAAGAAGAAGAAGAAGAAGAAGAAGAAGAAGAAGAAGAAGAAGAAGAAGAAGAAGAAGAAGAAGAAGAAGAAGAAGAAGAAGAAGAAGAAGAAGAAGAAGAAGAAGAAGAAGAAGAAGAAGAAGAAGAAGAAGAAGAAGAAGAAGAAGAAGAAGAAGAAGAAGAAGAAGAAGAAGAAGAAGAAGAAGAAGAAGAAGAAGAAGAAGAAGAAGAAGAAGAAGAAGAAGAAGAAGAAGAAGAAGAAGAAGAAGAAGAAGAAGAAGAAGAAGAAGAAGAAGAAGAAGAAGAAGAAGAAGAAGAAGAAGAAGAAGAAGAAGAAGAAGAAGAAGAAGAAGAAGAAGAAGAAGAAGAAGAAGAAGAAGAAGAAGAAGAAGAAGAAGAAGAAGAAGAAGAAGAAGAAGAAGAAGAAGAAGAAGAAGAAGAAGAAGAAGAAGAAGAAGAAGAAGAAGAAGAAGAAGAAGAAGAAGAAGAAGAAGAAGAAGAAGAAGAAGAAGAAGAAGAAGAAGAAGAAGAAGAAAGAAGAAGAAGAAGAAGAAGAAGAAGAAGAAGAAGAAGAAGAAGAAGAAGAAGAAGAAGAAGAAGAAGAAGAAGAAGAAGAAGAAGAAGAAGAAGAAGAAGAAGAAGAAGAAGAAGAAGAAGAAGAAGAAGAAGAAGAAGAAGAAGAAGAAGAAGAAGAAGAAGAAGAAGAAGAAGAAGAAGAAGAAGAAGAAGAAGAAGAAGAAGAAGAAGAAGAAGAAGAAGAAGAAGAAGAAGAAGAAGAAGAAGAAGAAGAAGAAGAAGAAGAAGAAGAAGAAGAAGAAGAAGAAGAAGAAGAAGAAGAAGAAGAAGAAGAAGAAGAAGAAGAAGAAGAAGAAGAAGAAGAAGAAGAAGAAGAAGAAGAAGAAGAAGAAGAAGAAGAAGAAGAAGAAGAAGAAGAAGAAGAAGAAGAAGAAGAAGAAGAAGAAGAAGAAGAAGAAGAAGAAGAAGAAGAAGAAGAAGAAGAAGAAGAAGAAGAAGAAGAAGAAGAAGAAGAAGAAGAAGAAGAAGAAGAAGAAGAAGAAGAAGAAGAAGAAGAAGAAGAAGAAGAAGAAGAAGAAGAAGAAGAAGAAGAAGAAGAAGAAGAAGAAGAAGAAATGGTAGTGCAAACTAGATAAATATATCAAGCGGTAGCTCAAGTTGTTTGTTTTGTAGTTGGCGCCCTCGGACTATTTCCAGGAATATTTCTGCTACGCCAGACGCCTTGGGAATACCTGACATCATTGGGAGTGCGCAGGTGGAAGCCATACTTGGAATTGTGTTGTTTTTGTAAGTCGCGGCGAGGAGCTGAGATATGTCAGACCGAAACATCGTGGAGTCAGAAGAGAGGGTATGAAATCAAGTAGTAATAATTACAAAAATTTGAAAACGATTGATCGCTAATGTTAGCTAACCTATAATTACTGGCGTAAAAACTCAATGAGCGATGCGGTATTAAATTTGAAAAGCTGAATAAACAGCTGAAAGGTTGTCACGAAAAGTGCAGCTTGAAAGAAATAGGAAATCTATTAGAATGAATAGACTCGAAATGATCAAAATGTCAATAGTGATTTTGAACGGGTGTCGTGTGATAGTTTTCAATATAATAGAAATTATTTTGATGAATATAATTAAAAGGAAATATAAAAAGGTTCTTTTAATTTGGAAATGATCTGACTATTCCTCAGTCACTTTGTATTTATCGATCGGCCAGTTGGGGCTATCGCCTATTTCAATTCTTACAGCTTCATTGTAGACATACAAGCAAGTGTCTACTTACTAATTTCTCTATCGATCTATCTGTCAATATATTTACCTATCGATTAATTCTATTATATTTCATCGATCAATCCGTTCTTTTTTCTTTACCTCAGCATACACATTTTCTTTCTGTCATTTACTGTGAGCGATTACGTTGCGTCTATCGATAAATACATATTCACATCGATCGGAGTTATAAGTAAATCTAATTATCTGCGCACTCTTAACTCTTTCAGCATCTATCTATCTATCTATCTATCTATCTATCTATCTATCTATCTGTCTGTCTGTCTGTCTATCTATCTATCCTAATCTCTTGGAATAAACCTTATGAAAGATTAATGTGGAAATCAATTATTTCCAGCTTCAAACTGAGAATTATGAATATTGTATTCACAAAGGTAGATTGATTCTAAAGTTCAGTAAGTGAATTTTTTCGATTTAAAATTTGAATTAAAAAGCATTCGGCCCAATTCATTTCGCAAAATTTGAAACAAATGGCCAAACCCTTGATTTTTTCATGGATCGATTTATATATATATATATATATATATATATATATATATATATATATATATATATATATATATATGTATATATATATATTATATATATATATATATATATGTATATATATATATATATATATATATATAGATAGATAGATAGATAGATAGAGAGAGAGAGAGAGAGAGAGAGAGAGAGAGATAAAAATCTGTATGTAAGTAACCCAAGTATATCCTATTAATATAAAATATTAAAACAAATTCACAAAAAAAAAGCTCAATATAAATTTTATTATAGTCCATATAAGTGAATTACAATCAATGAAACGCAAACACAGATTACAGATTTCGTCCTAGAGGAAAAATTTCCTGAGCTTTTCAATGCAAATATATATATATATATATATATATATATATATATATATATATATATAAATAAATCAATAAATATTTTTGATAAGCTGTCTTCACGAAAAAGCGTTCGATATCAATAAATTGATCGTGTAATGATAAACCTAAATAAAAAAATAACATAAATAACTTGTAACTAAATGTTTGCAAAGCAATTGGCAATCAATTGAATTAGCAAGCTAAATATAATACATGTTGCTTATCTCTAAACATCTGTATGCTGCTCATCTATAAACTCGTTGCTATATATTATTTCAAGTCAGTCTATGTAACCTGCTTAAGTTTTAAAGAAAAGGCGGTAATATGTTGAAAGCTGGCAATATTAATTATAGTTTTAATCCTAATCCCAACTGGAACATTGTATTATAAAATCTATCTATCTATCTATCTATCTATCTATCTATCTATCTATCTGTTATGAACAAGTGGAATGAAAAATATGCTGCAGAAGGAGCATATTTTTATTAACATCGGCAGATGAAAATAAATGTACTATTTAAAAATATAAAAAAGGCGCGTCTACTCAAATATGGATACACACTAAAAAAAAACTTTTAAAGTGATTATATATATATATATATATATATATATATATATATATATATATATATATGTTGCTTCCTATTCAGAGATAAAATCACTTATTAGAGGAAAACAGATAAATTCATAAACGACATTAGTATTATGCAGGGTGTTGGTTGGTTTAGAGCTTATTTTTGATAATTGGGTTAATAGTTTTAAATTTTTCATAATAAATGATACATCTTAGATGCGTATTTTTATCTGCAGGTTTGACGCGTCTGTGTATTTACTGTATTTTATTTCAATGTCATCCTTTTTTTAGTTTTGGTGCATTTGATTTTGCTGATATATGCTAATGGCATTATAGTTAATCTTACCTTTAGGACTCGGGTTTATGTTAAAATTATTGTTGTTAAATGATGTCTAATCTGATTGTGAAAAATATAATTAGGAAAACCGTTGTTTTATGTTACTCATTTCCTTAAGAAAAATTAGTTTAGATGAGGAGATTAGTTTAGGTTTTTGGATTAAATTGTTAATGGCGGAAAATTTATATCTGTCAGAAAATTCTCTTTCATTTTTCTTTCTTTCATTCATTTTCTCACGGAAACCAAGTCGCGTCACTGATATGTCTTTTTTCTTTCCACGGTATCAAAACGAAGTAGTCCATTATTTATGAGGTATTGGCAGGGCGTAACGGTCGTGCTAAATAAGGGAGGGGCCATTATATATTTTGTTTTGAAAATGGACCGTATAAAAGAGAATGAAGATCTGCCCATAACATCAATCTGGATTTAATTATTACTTATTAAATAGACCATATGTTGTGCGCGCTAGTAAAAGTTTCTTTTTTTTTTAATTATGGGATTGTTTTTTTTAAAGCTGAAATAAAAGAATGATGATAAAGATTATTTAAAATAATATCAATTGTTTCATTAATATTCATTTTTTTTTCAAATTAATTTTTGTAATTTTGGGATCAGTGAAAATTTGATCTGGAATTTTACAAATGCTTCAACATTTCTACTGAACGGACAGTTTGCTTTATCTTTTTATTTAGATTCTAGATCAGTTATCAGGTTTTGTGTCGTTGTCCGAAAAAGAAGTTAGTGTTGTCAGAAATTTGAAATATGAAAAGAAGAACGCAATTAGATAGAAAGATAGAAAAAGTATCAGAAGCGAAAAAGTATTGCTGAGAGCAACAAAAGGTAGGAAGCCGTCTAAAGGCAGCATAACCTCATCGTCAAACACTACGCCATACAGCGAGAGAGGGAGAGAGATATGAAGAGAGAGAGAGAGGGGGAGATATAAAGAGAGAGGGAGATGAAAATAAAGAGAGAGGTGAAGAGAGAGAGAGGGAAATGAAAGTAGAGAGAAATATGAAGAGAGAGAGAGGGAGATGAAAATAGAAATATGAAAGAGATATGAAGAGAGAGAGAGAGAGGGAGATGAAAATAGAGAGAGATATGAAGAGAGAGAGAGAGGGAGATGAAAGTAGAGAGAGATATGAAGAGAGAGAGAGGGAGATGAAGATAGAGATATGAAGAGAGAGAGAGAGAGAGAGAGAGAGAGAGGGAGATGAAAGTAGAGAGAAATATGAAGAGAGAGAGAGGGAGATGAAAGTAGAGAGAAATATGAAGAGAGAGAGGGAGATGAAAATAGATAGAAATATGAAGAGAAAGATATGATGAGAGGGAGAGAGTGAGGGGAGAGAGATGAAAAGAGAGACAGGGAGATGAAAGTAGAGAGAGATATCAAGAGAGAGATATGAAGAGATGGAGAGAGAGAGGGGGAGAGATATGAAGAAAGAGAGAGAGATGAAAGTAGAGAGAGATATGAAGAGAGAGAGAGAGGGAGAGGGAGATGAAAATAGAGAGAGATATGAAGAGATGGAGAGAGAGAGGGGGAGAAAGATATGAAGAGAGAGAGAGAGATGAAAGTAGAGAGAGATATGAAGAGAGAGAGAGAGGGAGAGGGAGATGAAAATAGAGAGAGATATGAAGAGAGAGAGAGAGGGAGATGAAAGTAGAGAGAGATATGAAGAGAGAGAGGGAGATGAAAGTAGAGAGAGATATGAAGAGAGAGAGAGAGGGGGAGATGAAAACAGAGAGATATATGAAGAGTGAGAGAGAGAGAGGGAGATGAAAATAGAGAGAGATATGAAGAATGAGACATATGAAGAGAGAGAGGGAGATGAAAATAAATAGAGATATGAAGAGAGAGATATGAAGTGAGAGGGAGAGATGAAGAGAGAGAGATGAGAAAGAGATATATGAAGAGAAATGGTGATATATATAGAGAGAGAGAGCGAGAGAGAAAAGTGATAGGTATGAAAAGAGTGCGAGAGAGGAATTTGGTGAGAAAATAGTTTATCAATCAAACAGGCTCAACGTTGCTTAACTTTGGTGGCTGTATTTCAACGTAATATGTCCGTAAGCCCTTCAAGTAAAGTCTAGCATTATTTATCCTACGTATCCTCAAAATCTGCACTTTCTTCCAGCTACGTCCATTCAACAACCTTATTCAGTAACCTCCTACCATAAGTGCTTCTTAAGCCTTTTATTGGGTAAATATTTACTATAAAAAAGGTTCGTCGCACAAAATTACTGTTTATAAAAGAATTTGAAGAATAAATAATGGCTTCTTAGGTTGCGGTGCGAATTAATGCAAGCTCCATCGGGCAATCAGAATTCGACAGGAAACTGGGCCAGAACTGTGTGGCTTTGCTAAAGACACTGGAACAAGAAATGCGATCTTTATGATCAGTAGTTTATCAGAACGAGCAGAATAAATGCTGAAGGACTTATACCTATATTTCATAGACTACACAAAAGCATTAAGACCAGGTACGAGACAAAGATCTATTTGAACTGTTAGGTAATCTTGATTTATTTGGAAAAGTATTGGAGTAATTTAAAACGTTCATAGGGAACAAACCAACAAGAAAAAAAAAGAAAGAAAAAGAAAGCAGTTGTGCGACTATCTTTGTTCACGAGATTTATTTAAACGATACTGTGACGAAGTTCTGACAGCATTTATTATTGCTGGGCACAATCTTAGCAATATAAATTATAGAAATTCCTAGACAAAATAGTTAAAAAAGCGTGAAGAAAGTAGTAACCGTTTCTTGCAAAAAGACAATGTATTTTAAGAGGGAAAAATTTGAGTTACAAATAGGAGACGCAAAAAATTAATCAAATGCATAAATGGGATCGTGATACAGCAAGCACGTGAATGGCAGCGAGATACCAAAATCCGAAGGTGCATTTGGAATAGCGAAAGGATTAGGGAAAGATGCATTTCAAAAACTAAACAAAGTATCAAGAAACAGGAAAACATTTTTGGGAAGAAAGCTAAGAATAGCCATCTGTTATATAATATTAATCCTTCTATATAGCAGTGAATATTAGACAATTACAACAGAGATGAACAGGAGACTTGAGGCGACAGAGAAATGACTCTATAGAAGAATGTTTAAGATACCATAGTCTGATCATGTGTAAAACAATAAAGTTTTAAAGAATACGGAAACGAAAAGACACCCGGGCTTAGGATCAGATAGAAACAGCTGAAAGCTTTCAGACACTTAATGAGGAAAGGAGGCATGGAGAATTGCAATCTCACTGGATATATTTAGCGAAGAGGAGTAGAGGGAAAATAAGGGATTTGTATACATAGATAACAGAATAGTGGCTGGGAGGGATAGAAAAGGGGACACGCCATGTTTAGAGCTGCATAGGAAGTTGTGGAGAGCAATGATCGCCCATGATCCGAAAGTAAACGGCACATCAAAAAAGAAAATTGCATGACAACGAAACCTTCACCTGAGAAAGTCCGAGGATGTTAGCGACTGAATCATATCAGTGAGCAGAATAAGAATTCGTCGAAATAATTCAGAAATTAATAAGAATGCTTCATTTGGAAATTTCAGGTAACATTGGATAAAGGCAGGTAAAATCTTTCTAATTGTCATTATTACTTTACAGTATTTCGACATTTGATTATTCTTTAAGAAATAACAAAAAGATCAATTAACTTATTATGAATATAATTAAGAGTGATCGCAGTTAAGGCCCCTGGACACACCTGGGATAATTAGAAATGTATGGAATGAAATGTTAATCTTAATTTACATTGCCATAATCACGCGAGAAGTATAATTAATTGGCCTGATTAATTAACTTCAGTTTTTCGTGCTCGAAGAATTAATTAATTTCAGTGTTTAAAGTTGATCTTCTTTATTGAAAAAATATAATCAAAGATCTACTGATCGACGTAAAAGCTATCTTAGACAAAAGCTTTAACAGACATAAACGCACACATACATACATACATATACATACGCATACAGATGCACACAGTGCAATTGAGTGAGAGAAAGATTAATTGTAAATTTTAGCTTGATCTGAAACAAGGGGGAAGGATGAGATTGAAATGAGAAGGCGTTTCTGTTATGTTACAATTCCAAGACTGTTGGAATATCCGCATTCAGGCATCTAGTCTGTGACCTACGCTTTTACATACAAAAATATATATATATATATATATATATATATATATATATATATATATATATATATATATATAAATTGTATTAAACAGTGAAACTGGCCTAAATTGAAAGTTTGAACTAAAGAAAAATTATTAATTTCAACATTTAATAAAAAAAATAAGAAAAACAGCGATTCGAACGTGTGTACCCACTAAACCTGTGAGTATCAAATTCCCCAAGCCCTTATTATATGTACACATATTCACTAAGCCTCGTTTCTTCATTATATGTATACAACGAATATATATATATTATTTAATTAATTCATCGAGTCTGATAGAAACCTCTACAGAATGCAGGAAGCACTGGACGACCGTTTCGTCCTAAATTTGGGACGCATCAGCAGTACGCATCCACTACCGAGTATCGAACCCTGACAGTTGGGTTATCAAGCGAACACCATACCAACTGTTCCAAATTCGGTGACGAAGAGATCCCCAATCAGACTCAACTAACCGCCGCTCGCTCACATATTCCGTGGCGGAACTCAACTGAGTACTCTGTGACCATAGGACTGAGCCACGACTACTCTCACCAAGCCGCTACCAACTGGAGCATTAGAAGCCGGTTCAAGCGAAGATAAACACAGATAGTAATTAATATGTGAGCGAATATGTGAGCGAGCGGCGCTTAGTTGAGTCTGATTTGGAATCTCCTCGTCACCGAGGCCCATTTGGAACAGTTGGTATGGTGTTCGCTTGACAACCCAACTGTCAGGGTTCGATACTCGGTAGTGGATGCACTGCTGATGAGTCCCAAATTTAGGACGAAAACGGCCGTCCAGTGCATTCCTGCTCAGACTCGATGAATTAATTAAATATCGTTATCAAATCTTCCTACTAATTACTGTATATATATATATGCGCGTGTGTGTGTGTGTGATATTATAGTTTTACAGTATACTATATTTATGGGTTAAAAGTGCTCAATATGAGGGATAGGACGTATGGAAATATAAAAGTAGAAATTGAAGTCAACACCCAGAGGTGACGGATTGTTTCATGCTAAACGCAATCGTCAAGCGATGATGGTTTTGGGGTTTCTTTTGTATTTTATTAAACAGTGGAATTATTATAAATAACCGCCCTAAATTGAGAAACCGTATTAAAGCAAAAATTAACAATTTAACCGTTTTGTAATATAAAAAAAACAACAAAAACAAGGATAGCCACTCAAATATGTGTGTATATATATATATATATATATATATATATATATATATATATATATATATATATAAAGATATATAATTATTATTTAAAAATTATAACATAAGTATGTTATAAAATCACTACAAAAATAGCTATTTTGTTTCAACACCTTCGGTGTCTTATCAAGTGATGATGTTGAAGATAAAACATATAAATATATATATATATATATATATATATATATATATATATATATATATATAGATGGTGTGTCACGTTTTATTTCTCAGAAGTGTGCTTACATGGTCACTATCGTCTCTAGCTGCACTGACTACACTCAAGGTGACAGCAGCCAATGGCGACCAGGTAAGCAACTTACATTTCATTCCTAGAATGAAATTGTCAGTATGTGAGGCACCAGTTTTCAGGAATGTTTTTTTTTTCTCATTCCCAAATCCTGTTAGCTACGTTGTTTCTCTATTTGTAATCAGTTCTTCTTCACACGTCATCTTCGATCTGAACAAACCAAGATTTGTTATCTGTTCACATTTGCAAATGTTCTTCATTTTTTTGGGATGCCCACTTCTTGCGTCATCGGGCACATATCTCTCTTCCCTGAACTGTCTAAGCCACACAACATACTTCATAGCATGCTCAACTTAAGCCGTTTTTTTTTTTTTAAATAAGGATCACTATTCACTAGCAATTTTTATTAATCTTTAGACGAAATTTGAATCAGCGGCGCTAGATTTTTTGCTCCTAAATTCTAACATTATAACATCAACACGCACGACTTCTACTGCCCGGTAAAGAATAACCCATCTGGTTTGCTTCTCGAGAGGGGAATGAGAAATGTTTGGAAACATGTTTCTCAGATACAAATGTTTGCCTGAACAGGAATGTCATTCAGGGAATTAATTTTTCCAGCTTGTTTCTTTCTCTGTCTGTCTGTCTGTCTTCTGTCTCTCTCTCTCTCTCTCTCTATATATATATATATATATATATATATATATATATATATATAGAGAGAGAGAGAGAGAGAGAGAGAGAGACAGACAGACAGACAGACAGAGAAAGAAAAAGCTGGAAAAATTAATTTTCTGAATGACCGCTTCCTGGTGTAATGAGTCAGGCAAACATTTTTATATATATATATATATATATATATATATATATATATATATATTAGACGAAAGAAGCATGATAAAGTGCAAAAGTTATCGCGTGACGAGTTTTTCGTCCTTTTCGTCGAACTTTTTCACCTTTGTCATACTTCTTTCCACTAAAATTGATCTTGATATATATATATATATATATATATATATCGTTTTCCCCATATATGAAACTCATTAGAGTCTTTTAACACAATATGATGACACTGAACCACCGCAAAGAGGTATGTATGAATGGATCAAAACGTTTACAAGTGGTCGGACAGACATGACACACGAAGATGAAGCAGGAAGTCTGTC